GGGAGTGTACTGAGAGATGGGGGGGTGGGAGGGGGACAGGAGGTTGACAGGCAGGAAGGGAAGAAAGCAGGGCTCCCCGCCCCCACACCACCACCACCTGTCCACTTGTCCACTTATGGGTTCTACTGTAGCCAGCCACCCGCTTCTGGCTTCTGACTCAGCTCCACTCCTTATTTGGAGCTCCCTGACAGAGGAACCTCCTCAATGCAAATATTGGGGAACCTTGCAAAAGTGATGCCTCCCAAGGTACTCGCCTGGAACCGGCATCTTGGGGTGGGGCCAGTGGGGAAGAGGGGTGCGTGGGGAGGTGCTGGGGAAGGGCTCACCGTTGTGGGCTGGGATTGGACCAGAGGAGGGGGTGGAGGCAGCGGTGGAGTTGGAGGCTTGGAGGGGCTCAGGGGCCCGGCGTGATCTGGAAAAGTCTTGCATTATGGGTGGATGGGTGGGGTTCCTCCCATACAGGTTCCCATTTTCCTCCTGTTCCACTCCCTGCCCCCTCCTTTCCTCCCCTCCCTCCCCGACATGGGTGCCCTGGCACAGGCGCTTCCTGGCAGCCGGTCTCTATGGCAACCAGAGGCTGCTACTTCCCTGCCACCTCCTGAGCCAACCCTGGCCTTAGGGTAGGGGATGCCAGCAGTAGCCAGGGCCCTCCTGACATCCCCACCCTTGCTCCCGAGAAGTTAGGTTGGGATTTCATCTCTCAGAAGGGAGCTCCTGGGCCCCCAGGGACCTCGCCGGATTTCCGGATTTCTCTTGGTTGCCTAGGTTACAGCCCCCTCCTCTTCTCTTCCCACTTTTCTCCAGCCCTGCCTCCCTCTATCCCCTTCTCCTTCTCTCTCTGCCCAAGCTAGTGACGCCAGCCGGTCCAGGCCGTGGGAAGAGGGTGGGGCCTGTCTGTCCCTGCCGCCAACTACCCAGCCCTTACTCAGATATAGCGAGTTCTCCTCCGAGCCCGGGAGATGCGCAGGGGCGATCTTGAGGGTCAGAGCCTCACAGGGGGGCAGCTCATATTGGTCCTCTTCCTCACCTTCCTCTTTCTCCTCCTCCTGGGCCTTCAGGAAGGAGTGCTGAACACAAGTGGTGGATTGAAGAGGCCCAGAAAGTCGTGTTGGGCGTTGCCTCGCCCTCCCCCTGGCACAAGGGCCAGGCAGCTGGACTTACCCTCTGCCTCCAGCTCCCTGGGACAGACACTGGAGATGGGCTGGGGACATCGTTTCTCCAAGCTGGGGAGTCTGGGCAGGACAGAGGGGCCTGACCCACCTGCCTGGCCGGTCCTTCTGTGCCCCAGGTCACCAACCAGCATTTGATGGCTGCCTTCAGTGCTTCAGCCCTGAGGAATCTTTCCCACATTGTGGCAGGACCGATGGGGGAGGCATTTTGAAAGAGAGGGGCCATCCAAGCACCCCTAATTCTGACCCAGGCAAATGAGAGGTAGGCTCTCATTACTGAGCCGAGCAGGAAGGCAATGGACAGGTGACCAGAGCCACTGAGGACATCCCACACGTGGGCCCCCTAGTCTGTACACCCCCCCACTTTTGCCCATTGTGTCACTTACCCACACACCAGCGGGCCGGGAGGGGTGGTTCTGACCTGCAATCAGACTCTAGTCAACTCTGTCCACGAAGCCCTGGCGTTTGTGTCAGCTGGACACTGCACGGCTCCTGGACACTGTGTGTGGGGGATGGGCAACCCCACGCATGGAGGTTCGTGAAGCAGCAGCCTGGGAGCCCTGGAGGAGGAGGAGGACTCTGGGGGTGGAGTGAGTGCCATGGGGCATAGCTGGGTGAGTTGGTGCCAGGGAGGCTCTCGTGCTGACGTGAGTGGAGGGGTGGGGAGGACAGAGGCCCCAGGGTGCTCAGGAAAGGGGCATGGTGACAAGAAGAGAAAGGAGAGAGAAGGAAAAGAGGGGCTCAAAGAACTCACCGGAGCCTCCTTCTACTGAGCTTGTCCTGGAAAGAGGGGGGAGGGGGGTATCAGGATGGTCAGGGCAGTTGGGGTGCCTCACCCAGCACAGCAGCATCCCAGGCCCCAGGCTCTGAAGGGTTGAGTGCCTGGGGCCACACCAGAACCAAGCTCACCATGGCCCAGATGGGGGAACTGTGCCTCCTTGGAGCCCAGGCTACAGCACTAATGGCCTTGGGGGACAGGGGCCCTATTGTTCCCAGCATTTGCATCTCCCAACACCTGAAAGATAAGCCTGCTGCCACCTCCAACCCCAGGCCCCCTCAGTGTGCATCTGCCACTCCCATGGCCCCAGCCAACTCCTCCTGAGCCTCCTCCCAGCCTACCTTCCTCATCCCTGAGCCCCTCTGCCCCCAGGAGAAAGCACTCTCCCCTTCAGCTAAACTGACTTCCTTCAGCTCTGGGATCGGTGTCACCTCCCCTTGGAGGCCTTCCCTGGCTGCTCAAACTCAGCTTCTCAGGATTCCAGCAAGATCTCCCACCCAGCTGCCCACCAGGCAACCCTGTCCAATCCCCACAAATCGTCACAGTAACAACGGGCAGGTGTCATTTAAACAGGAGCTTCTCCTGGCAGGTCCTGTTCTTAACCCCCTTTTGCCTGCTGTCATTTGTTGGTGAGCCGTCATCATGACCCAGGCTGGGGGCGGGGGCTCTCAGATTGAGCAGGACAGGTCCCTTTCTGCATAGATACAGCTAATCATTCGGTGTGTGTTCATTGGCATTTACCATATATGCCAGGCTCTGTTCCAAGTGCTGGAGATGTTGCAGGGAATTCACATAGACCTCCACTGGGTAACAGGCTCGACATTGGCCTCTCACTAACCTCGGGATGCAAGTCCTAGCTTTACCTTGGTTTTCCAGACGAAGACACCAAGGCTCCTGGAAGCGAGGCAACTTCCCGAGGCCTCGCAACGAGGGAGTGTTGGAGGCAGGTTTGAACCTGGGGCTTCCTTATCACCAGAGCCTGTGTGTTGAATGCATGGACCTCCTTACCTCACAAAGGACTAGGTCCCCACCCACCATCCAGGAGAAAGAATTAGGTGCAACCAGATGGGAGAGCTTCCTTAAGGAGCTGGAGACTCTGAAAGAACCCCTGGGTGACTTTCGGAACCTTGGCTTCTGCGAAGCATTAGGGTAAAAAGGGAGGCGGGGCCAGGTCTCTGCCTCCCCCTGAACCAGGAGACGCGGGGCAGGATGGTGAATGCAAGGCCTTTGGGGGTTTCCTGGGCCCTGGACTGTCCTCGTGTTTATTATTCCGTGGCTGTCCAGGTTGTTGGCACCAAGGGGAAATTGGCCTGGGAGCCTAGAGAATGCTACCTTGAGCCACCACTGCCTGTCCCCAATTCCCAAAGGCTCCCTTTCTTTCCCAGACCGCAGGGAGCAACTTCCCTCACCGGAGAGGCCCTCCTTTGCGCTGTCAGAATCAGCTGGAGGCTCCAGACACCATCCTGTCGCAAGGCCCTCCTAGCGGAGCTGGTTGTTCCGCCCATATCTCTCTCACCGCAGCTCCCCGCCCTTTGGCCAGGGCTTTTGCATAGGCAAATGCCAGGCTCTGGGTGAGCCAAAGGGCCCTCATGGGCAGCTGAGTCCATGCTGGCTGGGCAGGGGCACTGGCCTAGCACTGGCCTGCACCAGATCAGGGAGGGGGGAAAGGACCCTGACGATGGTGGCTGTGTCTCGTCCCAGCCCGCCCTCCAGGACAGTGCTTCCTGTTAACAAGGCAGCTCTGGACACCTGCTTTCTCCAGAGCTCAGACTTTCCCTCGGGAGGGATTCCCGGACGTCATTGCTGGAGACGCTTCTTTAGTGAACATTTTTATCCCCGTCGCCACACTGTGTGGTGGCCTCTCAGTGCCTGTTTTGGTGAAGATACACGTGGCAAAACATACACCACTGCGGCAAGTTCTGCATTTACAATTCAGTAACGTAGACACATTCTTCACATCGTGCCACCTCCCTCTCTCCTGTTCCACGTCGTGCCACCACCGTGCACATAGCTCAGTGCCCTCGAAGCAAATGGAGGGCCCGTTTGCTGTCTTCGGCAGCATGATTCTCCAAATTATTTGGATCTCAGCTGCTGAGAACGGGTCCTGGTTCAGAGGCTCAGAGAAATCGAAGCTGCCCTGAAAACAAAGAGCTTCACAGAGCAACATCTGCAGGATCATGAGAAGCAATGGATCCAAAGGCCAGATTTACTCGTCTGATAGAGACTGGTGGAACCCTGATTGAATTTGGCCCTTCAGGCCGAGAACTGAGCTCACTCCTCTGGTTCAACTTGCAGCCAGACAAGTGCTTATGAAAGTGAGGAGGACTTGAAGCACATGCTGATGAAGGCCCAGGATTGCAGCCTTCCGTCTGAATTACAACTCAATATCAAGAACACCATAATTCTCACAAGCAGGAGCTGGAGACTCTGAAAGAACCCCTGGGTAACATAGTGAAAAATAGAGGAAAGATTGAAGTGGTCAAAGATTTCATCTTGCTGAGGTCCACAATCAATGCTCCTGGAAGCAGCAGTCAAGAGATCACAGAATACATTGCACTGGGTGAATCTGCTGCACAAAATGTCCAAAAACAAGGCTGTCACTTTGAGGATTCAGGTGCACCTGATCTAAGCCACGGTCTTTTCAAGGAAGACAAAAGAAGAATGGGTGCATTTGATTATGATGCTGGTGAAGAATACTGAAAGTACCATGAATGCCAAAAGAACAAACAAATGTGTCTTAGAAGTACAGCCAGAATGCTCCTTAGAGGCAAGAATGGTGAGACTTTGTCTCACATACTTTGGGCATGAAAACAAAGCAGTGGAGTACTTGTTAACATCTTCAGATTGTCAGCCATCCTGGGATCTGAGAGATTCTATGCTTCAGGTGAGAGGATTAAAAATAATAACACTGCATCGAGTCAATGCTACCCATAGCAATCATAGAGGACAGGGTAGAACTGCCCTTTTGAGTTTTGGAGAGTGTAAGTGTTTACTGAGGTAGAAAGCCCCATCTTTCTCCCAAGGAGCACTTGGTGGTTTCGAACTGCCAGCCTTGCTGACCAAAGACCAATGCATAGTCACTATGCCACCAGGGCCCCCTGTAGTGAGAGGGTTAGGAATCTATATAATTTTTAACAAGCATCCCGGGTGACTTGAAGATGAGTCAAGTCTGAGATATGCTGCTCTGGGGGAAACATTCGGTAAAGATGCCCCTCCTCCTAGCACATCTTGCCCTGTGCTCACTGGGAACAGGGGCCCTAGCAGAGAACAAGGATCTATGGGCCTTGCCCTCACAGGCCGGTGGCGAAGACCAGCCTGTGCAGACGGTCAACCTCAGGGAGGGGGAGGGAGGGGGGCGAAATGAGAAGCTGATACCAAGGGCTCAAGTGGAAAGAAAACACTTTGAAAATGACAACAGCAACAAATGTACACATGTGGTTGACACAATGGATGAATGTATGCATTGTGATAAGAGCTATATGAGTGCCCAATAAAATGATTTAAAAAATAAAGAAGATGGTCAACCTCTTGGGCCTCAGTTTCCCCTTGTGTCATGACGGGGTAAATAGGGCGCGCCTCACTGCGGGGGGGTTCCCTGAGTTCAGGGATCTGATACTGCAGCCCCGAAGCAGCAGCTCAGAGAGAGGGGGTGCGGGGTGGCTGATAGTCTCTTGCTCACTGGACTCTCACAGCCCTGAGGCGATTCCAACTCACAGTGACCCCCTAGGGCAGGGTGACTGCCCCTGTGAGCTTCCCAGGCTGGTACTCTTTTTTTTTTTTAATAAATCATTTTATTGGGGCTCTTACAGCTCTTCTAACAATCCATACATACATCCATTGTATCAAACACCTTTGTACCTATGTTTCCATCATCATTTTAAAGACATTTTCTTTCTACTTGAGCCCTTGACATCAGCTCCTCTTTTTTCCCCTCCCTGCTCCACCTTCCCACCCTCATGAACCCTTAATAAATTATGAATTATTATTATGTTCATATCTTAACACCATATGCTCTCTCTGTTCACCCACATTTATGTTGTTGGTCCCTGGGGGGAGAAGGGGAGGGGAGGTTTATACGTTTCTCTCCCCCTCCCCCTTCCCCGTTCCATCACAGTAGTGCTACTCCCATTACTGTTCCTGAGGGGTTTATCCGTCCTGGATTCCGTGTGTCAAGAGTTCTTCTCCGTACCAGTGTACATGCTCTGATCTAGCCAGAGTTGTAAGGTAGAACTGGGGTCATAAGAGTGGGGAGGAAGAAGCATTAAGCAACTAGAGCAGTGGTTCTCAACCTTCCTAATGCTTCGACCCTTTAATAGCGTTCCTCATGTTGTGGTGATCCCCCAACCATAAAATTATTTTCGTTGCTACTTCATTATTGTAATTTTGCTACTGTTATGAACCGGGTGACCCCTGTGAAAGGGTCGTTCGACCCCCAAAGGGGTCACCACCCACAGGTTGAGAACCGTTGAATTAGAAGAATGTTGTGTGTTTCATTGGTGCTATGCTGCACTCTGACTGACTTGGTCCTTCATTGTGACCCTTCTGTGAAGGGATGTCCAATTGTCTACAGATGGGCTTTGGATCTCCACTCCAATCCCCATCGTTTTCATCAACATGTTTGTTTTGGGTCTTCTGATGCCTGAGACCTTATACCTGATCCCGTGGACACCTCATGATCACACAGGCTGGGGTGCTTCTTCCATGTGGGCTTTGTTACTTCCCTGCTAGATGGCCGCTTAACTGCAAGCCTTTAAGACCCCAGATGCTGTATCTTGTAATAACCGGGCACCACCCTCTTCACCACATTTGTTATGCATCTATTTTGACTTCAGCGATCGTGTCAGGAAGATGGACATCATGATATTCCGGGTTATTAGAACAAAGTGTTCTTGCATTGCGGGAGGACTTGAGTGGAGGCCCAATGTCCATCTGCTACCTTAATACTTAACATTTGACTATATGTACATAGACCAATATCCCTATCATTATATATTAGTATAGTTACATGTAAACATGGCTATGTTTATACCTTTATAAAGTCTTTTGCCTCCTAGTTCTTTCCTCTGTTTCCTTTTACTTTCCTCCTGTCCACCTCTCATGTTTGACCTTCATTCGACTCTTAGAACTTTCCGCT